GACCACAATCATGTGATTATCCTTATCTATCATTGTAGGTAATTAAGTTCATATATTTTGATAATGCAGTTGTGTAGAGCACTCGGTCTGTCTGATTCACGCATCACTATTGTAGTATATCGAACCCCAAGAAACACTGCCTTTCTTGACACGTCAGTCACTATAGACGCCGAAGGTTTGCTTACCACGAACGTGTACAGAAAACCTACTCAAAGTGACCAATACTTAGACCATAACTCTTACCACCCTCATTCAGTATTGTTATGCGTATAGACACTCAGGCCAAACACTTCACAAAAGAAAACCATGAACTGCATCTCAAGAGAAGAAACACCATCTAATTTTGTTGCTAGCAGATATCAGCCCTTATTGTACGAAAGATCACTAAGACGAAAAGATAAACCCACGCCAGCTTACGAGTCCACTGCGGCTCTACCCTACCACAAAGATGTCTCAGGGATTCTTCGCCGCTGCTCATGAAGCTAGGCGTGTGTATTGTTTTTAAATCTGACCCGACGCGCACTCCGTGTGACCCAAAGATCTCATCGCGTTAGCAAAACGGAACGGCCTTGCTTGCTAAGTCCCTTGTGGATTTTGCAAAATATACATCGGAGAAACAAGAAGAGCAATGTTTGAGAGAGGTAAACAACATGAAAGAGACATACGGCTTGCTCGCACTCAGAATTCGGGGTTTTAGAACACGCCAATGAAACGTTCCTGTTTGGAACCAGGTTAGATTTATTGATTATGACCCTCACTGGTACGCAAGTGGGGTTCAAGAAGCCATCCTAATAATATCAATAAAACTGCCGGAATCGAAATTCCTGAAGCAAGGATACCCACTATCAAAAAGCATAACAACTGATCATAAACAAAGTGGACCTGAGATGGGCTACATCCGATAGTCGGAATGATAATGACGATCGAAATATTCTAACGAAGACTAGCCCTATAGCGGTTGAAAAGTTGCGATCAATGCAATTTATTAGTCTGCCTACATTGTAAGACAAATTATTAAACTTTCACTTATCAATAAAACACGACGAGCAGCAAAATTTTGTATGTCATACCTTCCCACCGACGCTGCACCACAGTTTCTTTAGAAACTTAACCCTTAACCCATTCGATTTTGAAATGACATATGTTATAGAACGAGCTCCAAAACTGGTGAATGGTACAGTATTTAGATTACTCCTCGTTCTCGAGTGTTTTTTTTAGTAAGCCTTACCTTCTTTTAAATGTATAGATCTTCGGAGAACGTTTGAAACCATGTGGCGCTATTGAGCAACTCTGTTGCTTTACAGTGCGTCGAAAATGTGTTCACGTTTGTACTTTTTCGCTATAGATTATCGCGTTTGTGAAAATAGCTGTGTATTAATGCAATTGAACGTGAATGTTAATGCAAAGCTTGTTAAAGAAATTCCCTTACCTAAAGTTTTTGTCAATTTACTGAAGTGTTTCTACAGCACTTTTATTTAAGTTGATTGTTGCGCGTTATTCAAACGGTGCGGATACTTGTGTTTTTAACTCTATTGACGACTTCTAATTATGCGAAAAGCATTAACGAATCTACTTTTGTGTAAATGAATGATCTTTGGTGTAGATGAAACCAGTTTGGCGCTTTCAGTCGATCTTTCGCAAAAATGAAAGAATGTTTTTGTAATTAAACAGAGAAAGGAGTACATTGTCTTTAATTCTAGAAAATGTTAATCATGATAAGTGCGCGCGCATCAGAAGCGTTCAAATGATCTAAAACTTAGTGAAGCTAAACAGTGGCAGTTAATCGAGACAAGATGACTGAGAGAAAGGAGAACAAATCGTCCATATTGTGTGTATTTCTAAAGATTCTTCATCTTTTACTGCGATGCGTTGTCGTTCTTGTCGATACAGGACTTCGCTGTTCGCTTTGGTGTTACGGCAATACCAATGATGACACAAAAGCCAGAACTCACATTGAGGAAGAATTGATATCGATCGTAACCCAAATACAAAGGACGTCAACTTTCACCAAAGGAGAACGAAGCAAATCCAGAGGTTATCAGTACTGTTGTCATTCCCAACTCCGACCACCTGTAAACGAACTTAAATTTAAGAAGGATGAAATGTGGAGACACAATCAAAAATCCACGGTGACACACTCGCCGACACAATTGGATCACAGTGCGGGGAAAGGATACTTTCCAGCAGGCTTTAAAAATCATTCTCCAATTTCCTTCAGTCCAGAATGGAAAGAGAGATCATCCAAAATAAGGAACGGAGTTAAGAGGTTACCAAAGCGCAGATCTTGTATCCTATACTCTATTGAAAGCAACGAAGATCTTACAGTAAGCAACAATCCATTCATAAATGCAGAGGTAGAAGTGCTCACTAAAATGATGGAGAAACTAGATATTAATAATGAGAAACATCAAGAATGTTTCAGCCAAAAAAAAGTTGCAGTGAATTTGGTAGACAAAGGAATCCTGCGTAAGCACAAGAAACAAGAAGTTAAAACGGAAAACAAAAGTTGTTACGAACGCATAATGTATTCGGCCAAGAAAAGCGAGAGTCTGGCAAAGAAAAAGTTAGCAATGAAACCCTTAAAGAAATCAGTTCGGTTCAAGGACGTTACAGAAGAATAAGACAGCTATAACACCCCAAGGATTCAGGCGTTACTGCACTTCAATCCTTTATATTATACATTATGCCCCAATCCTGATAGCGACATGGACGAATAAGGGCAGGAAGATTTTTACCAAGATGAAAAGATGCTATAACTGATTACTATTTAATGTAGATACTACTTAACTTTAAAAATGTATTTTGATCATAACATTCCTAATTACGGAAGAGTAGGAAAGAAGTGCTGTTAATCTATATCAGGTAGTGTTTGAGTGAAAAAAGGTGTGATTTCTAAACTGCGCAATAGTTTTCTTCCTTAACGTTTTGTTCAATTATATTTTCCGCGGTCAAACTAATTATTATTACTTTCACATGTAATGACTAAGGTTGTAAATATTTCTGTAGTTCAGAGACCTTTTTTCCCCTAATTTATGATACAGTAATTTTACATTCTATTTGGATCGGGCAGAATGCATACTGTTCTAGCGAGATTAACTGCATTGGCGTAAATGTGATAATCTGTAATATTGGAGGCAAAGTGCACACTCGTTGGCTTTAATTGGACACGATTTTTGGCGTTTTACATTTCCACAGGGAATATTGCCGAAGCTCATTTACTTGTCAGGGCAAGTTTAGAAACAAAGGCCTTACTTTTTGCGATTGTTTCATTTAATCATAGTTCAGCCGCGAAATTTGAAAGCTGGCTTTTCACATTGCTAAAGCCTGCAATGGCCGTTTGCGCCCGACCTTCCGCCAAAGGTAATTATATAGAAATAATGTGGCTGAAAATTTTGAAATCAACAAATCCCCTTTGTGTTAAGAAGGTTTTTCTTGGAGCATTGCACCTTCAAAAAACAAATTGATTCATAGCGAGATTTTGCATCTCGCAAATCCAACTAAGGATACCGCTGGAGCTTTAGAAAAATTTCTGGGATTTACCTATTTAATTCTTTTTTTGTATTGTCATTCCGTGTCTTGTACGGAAATAATGTTTCCACGCTTCTATCGCGGCAGTCATGTCCCACCCAGCCCTCTCAAGACTTTTTACTTCCGTCACGCACGGTTCAAGTGAAGTACACTTTGTCGTTATTAACCTGTTATTGATGCACACTTCCGGCAAGTGTGTTTGTTGTTCTGTAGTTTATGGAAAACAAGTCTTTTCTATTGCGATTGTTAGGTAAAGAACATTCTACTGCAAATTTATCCGAAAAAAAGTCGTTCTTGGAAGCCTGCATTTGAAAATCTTAAATTGAACAACATTTTTAGCCAGTGCAACCCAACTGAACAATGGTTTGTAGTTATTAAGACCCTCAAACTTTGTAAATTAACTTAATTTGTCGTTACGGATAGCAGGCGACAGGTTGGGTGACAGGTTTCAGGCGACAGGTTGGGTGACGTCATAACCAGGGGTCGTGAAGCCTTAGAAGTGTTGTCTTCCCAGAGGTACCAGTAGGATAGAATGTTATCTTCCAATTTCTAAACAACGAGGTGAAAAAAAAAACAAAGCCTTGTTAGCCTACATTTGGATACAAACAAATACCTTAATGGTAATCAGAGCTAAAAAAAAAAAACAAAAAAAAGAAACAGATGTTAGCGCGCCGCCGGAAGCTCTTGTAATGAGGCACACACTTTTACTTTACTGTTTTTTTTCAACCTGCGCTACAAAATTCGCCGAAAAAGAAGGACTGCTCGTATTCTTTTGCTGTTATCGCCGGTTACGCTGAATGAAATCCTGTAGTTTGATCCTGAGATGTTCATACAGATTTGAATAGCTTAAGCTCTCTAAACTCAAATACAAAACAACTCAGACCAATTTTTAAAAAGAGTTACTTTTTAGAACGTGGAGCGATCGCTAATCGAGACAGAATCATTTGCCAGATGTTAGCCGTTTAAAATGTTTAGTGTATGGTTTGTTCTAGAAGCTCTTTTCTTTTTAAAACGGGTAACATCTACAATTCATGGAGCCATTATTAAAGAACGGTCGGAGTTTACTCAACAGACTACTTTGCGTAAATGTGCTCTCACGCCAGAAAAATCGCCAAAAATTTGAAGTCACTACGGCGAAGGAAATTAATAGGTACGAGATGTTTTGCAGTGTGTTACGAGGAGCGAGCTTGTCAACTTTTGAAATTTTAGATGTCGCATGATTTCAAAAAAGGGCCTTTTGCAACTTTGATTATTGAGAGCTCTCAAATTTTTTTTTGTAAAAAAACTTTTCTGACGCGAAATGCCTTGTGCTGCTCTCACAGAGATCGCCACTTAATACTTGTTAATACGTAGTAAAGGGTGCATGATTCTTGGTAGGTAGGGTGTATTTTCCGTTGTCCTCTTAGGAAAACTGCTGGACTTTCAAGCCCATGCCTTTCCTGTTGTAGATGCCTGCAAAGGACTGGGTTCGACAGAACCCACTCCGCATCCCGGAAGCAGCTGAAGTCCGGAGGGACAAGAGCTCTTAAATGATTTAAAATTTTCCTCAAACAGGTCAGTTTATTATCTTAAAGGCATGAAATAGGTGAGTGAGAAGATTGTTTTACTTTGAGGCTGAAGGAAATCGTTACACGACAGAGTGTTTATGTATAACTTTTGTTCTTAAATTGTAACTATCTCGAAGGATCGAATATTGTTGTTTGTGGTCGTTTCATTATTGAAAACAAGTATAAGCTGTGCTCGCTTCTTTAAGTTTCTCTCAGTTTCTTTCAGTGTCCTAGTTGATTACTCGAACGTTTCATTTCTAGAAACTATTCGAATTATTCGTTGAGATACATGCAAATTTCTCGATATTTCTCTCGAAATCAAAACCGAAAGGCAGAGACTCCTAACAATATAAACCTTTACTGTGTAATAATTGGCAATTATAAGGAAGCAAACACGTTAAAGGCTAAACACACGCAGTATCATAGTAATCGAAGATACAGACGTTTCTAGGTATACTACTTTGCTACGACGATAGTCATGAAGATCTGTTTGCTCTTTCAGAGTAGAAACTGTCTTACTCACTCGCGTAATTACAACTTTGTACAATTTTATTATGAATGACCGTAACTCTATATTTCGACACAAGTCGACGAGAAAGGAAAATAAAAGGAAAATTCTCAAACAAGGGTACGGAAAATAATTAAAACGATAGAAAAAAAATATTTCAGAATTTGGCTTTCTCGGAAAAACCGGATGTCAATAAACAATAATTATATTTTATCTTGAATAGCTGAGTCACGCACTCTGTACAAGATCACGTACAAATTCTTTAATGAAATTGAAATTTTGTCGAGAAATACTGACCGCACGGCGCTTCCCTGGTTTTCGTGCTTTTCGCTGAAAATCCTGTTGTTTTCCGTTCACATTATAAATGTCATTACGGCTAAGAGTGGTACAGTTTTGAATAACTAGAGCTTTGAAAATATATATATATTTTTTTAAAGTTCAGGTCATAACTTGAGAAACATTACGTGCCTGTTAATTCCGTCCCACGATGTGTCGCTGACTCGATTCGTTTTTTTAACCAAGGTACTGCGTTTTATACTGTAGTTATTAGGCAGTCTTATGACATGTGCTTTAATGGATTCCTCTCTCAGACTGTCGGCTTGTTTTATTTACGATAAACGAGCGTGAGGAATTTACTGTTTATTCAGCTGATAGTGGTACATTCTTGAAACGAGTAACCTTGCAGACAAGATGTATTTCATCGTGTTTTCCAGTCGCAAATGAGAAACAACGCTTAAGTGTGGCGCTCATAGTAAGGCGTTTTTTGTAACGTCGGTTTACAACATGTTTCTGTTATTAAATGGTGGCTTGTACTAAAATGAAACAAATCTTTTTTTTCCGCTCGTTACCAGCTGGATAGTGAGGGCGAAGTTGTTACTTTCGGAGTCTGAACATGACCCCACACACGTGTGACGTATCACATCATGTGACCTGGATCGGAACGTTTTCAAAATGGCCATCGATTAAGCGTAAAAATTGGGTTTTTGTACAATATATCGTTCATTTGCTCAATTAGGATTCTTTAGCCTAAGAGGAATGTATAGGGACAAAGAAAGGAGAAAATGTGCCGTTAGTTACACTTTAAGGCTTATTTTGAGCTTATAAGGTGCTGTGATCAACGTGATATTTCTTTAGAAGCTTTCGACTGACTGAGAAGTCTGGAATTTTTTCTTTTCTGTGTCGCAGCCTTTCCAATGAAACTTCGCCGGATTTGATTAAGCTTCAAAGCACTTCTGTTCATGAACAGAGCTCTTAAATTTCGGCGGTTATTTGTAGGAAAAGCCAATTCAGCAGCTATTAGAATTGCTTTAATTTTTTGGACTGCTGTACCAAGCATTATGAAACAAATTTGATGAAGTGTGTAAAAAACGAGTGCGAGGATTTGATCGTGGTATCCAAATATCGCGAAACAAATGAAAGCACGAGGCTGCTTCGGTCGAGTGATTTTATTTGTTTCTCAATATTTGGATACCACGATCAAACCCGAAGCACGAGTTTTTCAGATTGCTTCTCAAACTGCCTGTATGAATTAGCACCTAAATCATAACACTATTGTTACGTTCTTTTTATTGGTTGGATAATTTTGGACATCATTATCAGCTACATTCATCTGTTGTCTCTTTGGGGTTTCTTTGGGGAATTCAAAGTGTATGCCAAATTTATGGTAGTTTTGCTCATTTAATTTATAGCTCCGTGGTTAGTCAGAGCTTGATTAAGGCAGAAAGTAATGCAGTTAACCGTTTTCGTGTCCCAAAAAGTTGTGAAGAAGAAAGTAAACTGCTAAAGGAAAGTTTTCCCAAATCGACTGTTAAAGTAGTTTTTCTTATTTGCATTTCATGCTATGCATGAATCTAGATATGCAATTCAGGGGGTATAAACAAAAGGTCACCTAAGCAGGGTTACTCGTATAGAATCTCCCACAACAATAATGCCCGCTAGCCTAATGAAATTTGAGTAAGATTTCCAACTGACCGGTTTTCACCCGAGTTTTAATGATTCATTGGAGTCATTGTGGAAACAGTAAATCTGTTATTTTTGTGTGGTATTTATTTCGCTCGGCTTTCTGCTTCCTAGAAATGGGTAACGAACATTCTATAGCCCTTAATCAGAGGCGTATGCAAAGAAGTCCCATCGACTCTCTGTTTGAGCGCGCAGTTCTTGATGCTCTTCGTGAAGTAGCCGAAGAATCATCGGTGCCATCCGAGCAGATTGAGCATGCGTGGGACCCCGAAGATTGCTCGCCCAGGTTCAGAGTTTTGAGTGACAGGTTGACAGCTAGGAGACTTCCCTCACCTCTTACCACAGATGGCATTAGAGGTACTCAAAATCTAAACATTAACAATGTTATATTTTGTTGAAACTAGTTGATTAATTCAGATTCACCAAGATGTATGATGGTTCTGACCGATTTTCTTCAGTTATAAATATTATTAGCTTTTATTCTTTAACGTTGATTTGAGTGAATCTTTGAGGCAGCATTGTGACCAGCTTTCTCGCGTCTGATCTGCTTACTTTATGGTATGGTTTGTGACTTGATGTCAAATAAACGAGTTTTAAAAATTTCTTAATCAACTAAACTGACACCCGGTCAAAACTGTTTTGCCTAGAAAATAAGGTGGCAAAAACCAGAAAACAAAACGAAACAAAGCTGAAGAGCAAACAAGCATAAATAAAAGGGCTTCTTGATTAAGCTCTTAAAAACTTGCTGCAGCTTTTCTGAAATATCTATGAAACAAATTCCACCATAACAGGAAAAAAGGGATACAGACAAGGTCGACACGTCTGGGAAATAACCTGGGAACGAGACGAACGAGGTTCCTACGCAGTCATCGGAATCGCTCTTCCTCAAGCACCCCTTCAGTGCCTTGGTTACCAACCACTGATAGGATCCAACTCAGCTTCGTGGGGATGGAATTTAAGCAAGAAAGTGACATTCCACAACGGACAGGAGGCTGCTTATCCGGCCAATAACCCGGGATTTTTTGTTCCTGATACAGTTTACTGTATACTGGACATGGACAATGTTACTTTAAGGCGAGTGGCAAGACTGCAACCACTTTTACACAATCCGCTCCTTCCTTTTTCTTTTCAAAGTGTTTGTTGTCTCTAGTAAGCATTAGGTTGTCTTAAGCTTTATGCTGGCAATAGATAAGAGTACCGTTTACAAAATTCACGGCCATATAATTTACAGCACTTTCGGATTATCCTAGGTTTACTCCTTTCGATTTAAAGCGTATGGACTACAAGTAAATGATCTAACATTTTGCACAGACATCGACTGATGTTGGCTAATAAAACTTCATCTGACTAGAGGTATTATGCTTTGGTGAGTATCCTTGTCCAGTCGGCAGTAAATTAAGAGATAATTTTCAAATGGGGTTTTTGTATTTCCTGCACGAAAAGCGAGATCTCTTAGTTGTAAATGACGGACGCTGTTAGAATGGATTTATCATGTAAGTTTGATTTTGAAGATCTCTGCTTTAATTTCAAGGTTCGGTTTTTATGGGTTTTTTAAAATTCTTGTTCCTTCTTGATTGTTTGAATTCTTTACTAAATTATTGAAACTTGTTTTTGATTCAGTTTTGCAACAGAGAACACTTATCTCGGGGTGGCGTTTCGTAATTTACCTCGTCATCCGCTGAAGCCTTTGTGCCCATGTGCTAGTGCGGTATTCGGCAACTGTGATATCAAAATGAGGTATATGGGTAGAGGAGGTAAGTTCTGTTTCAGGAATAATTTAAGAAAAAATTGATTGTTAAATCAAAGAAACGAATTCTTTCTTACCTATTTTGTTAGTGATATTTTAGTGGCTAAAAGAAATCAATAACCAATAATTTGCTTCCAATATTTTGAAGTCGAGTTACTCGCACTTGCTTTCACGACAAATTGTGAATTTAGTATTAATCTTCAACGACACTTAGTTTAGTTTCGTGAAGTGTAAAGTGGAATTCTTCGTTTGCAAATAAGTTAACTGGGGGATCTTCATATAAGTTTGATTGACCTGGGTAACTTGGTTTCCGAGATCTCGCCCCATTACTTTCTTGCGTTTACGTGCGAAAGTGAGGCATTCCGAGATCAAGATTAGAAATGCTCTCACTCCAGTTTAGTTCACGTAAATGAATCTGGCAACTGCGCTATTCGTCTCAGTGACGGAGCTAAAATCTACCATAATTACATGAACGTAAGACAAAATTCCTATCGCGAGGTTATAATTATATCAGGTCTTTTTTCCTGGGGGCTGTAATCCAGTCACTGTTTTTGGGTGCAATGATAGGATGGTAAAATTAATGATAAAATAGTATGATATAGGTCACAAATCACTAGAATATTTTCCGGGTTGTTACCGTTACTCAAACTGATAAACATTTCAATAATCGCAGTGTGGTTCCCTGGGCACTTTGCTAAGCTTCATCGTTTATCTAATATTTCCATCGTGACATTAACAAAAGCTTTTTTGATTTCTTTGAAGACACCTTTATTGCTAAGTTAGAAGCATCCAAAGAGAAAGCCTCGCGCCCGTCTACTTCCCCTGCAGTCAAGCCCCCACCGGAATCCCCTGGACCCAAGTCTCCTCCCCAGTCTTCTAGGACTACCTCTCCAACCCAAGCTCCAACTTTCTCCAATGACTCTGCGAATTCCTCGGAGTCATACAAGTTCGCTCACAATTGTGGAGATAAAATTGCTGTAATGCTTGCGGGGAAGAAAGCGAGGAGGATCGAGTAAGAAAATGTTTTCGTTCCCTTTTTTTTTAAGAACCCTGCATTGAACTTTTCCTACTCGGATGTTATGTCTCCTGGTAGTGACAGCTGTAAATATTTGCAGTGCCCTACAAATTTTCAACCATGGAGTTGTGATGACTGGAAAACCTTTAAAAGATGATGAGCTGTTTGAAGTACGCTTGGACAGTAAAGTGCCAAAGTGGTTTGGCACTCTAGACATTGGGGCCACGACAGTCTCCCCCGAAGGTCTGGAGTTTCCTCCGTCGATGGATCGCTTTGGACAAGGCATAACATTTGCACTCTGCGGAAATAAAATACTGAATAACGGAAATGAAATGACTGAGATATCAAAGGACTTGAATGATTTGACGGTATGTTACCATAATCAGCCACCAAAGACTGGGAACTTTGCAGTTTTTTTTGCTTCCTTGTAATATTGCTATTTGCTTCCGCCACCCTACCCCTAATAAAATGTTATGTTTTCACTTTGCGACTGCATTGAAACATCTTTAGGGTCTAATAACTGCACATTCCTTCCCATCGTGGGGGGGGGGGGCACTTTTGCGTACCATTTTCTCTACTGAGTCATCTTTTCAGCTTGATCACTAGATATTCTTACTGGCTGAGCCTTCTTTACCTAGGGATATTTAACAAAGTAATATGATCACAGTGAGTTGCAATTTTTGTTTTCGTTGAAACTTTCGCGTTTCATTTTGGCAACTCTCATCGCGACAAAGTCATCGTCTTAGCTTGATCACTTGATAGTCGCAATGGCCAGCCATGTTTACCTAAGGGTCTATGTAATACTTCTTTTTAGGGCAGAGTATGCAGCAAATATTTTTTTCTCAGAGTAAGGAATGAGCGTACATAATATTAACTAAAAACCTTTAAAACGACGTTGTAGCCCATAGTACTTTTCCCCTCAATTGTAGTTTTCCAAAGCGAATCTAAATTATTATTGATCTTATTGATCTGGGAAACTCTTTGCCTTAACAGGTTGGAGATCGAGTAGGGGTGATGCGAAAGTCAGACAATTCCTTGCATTTTTTCATAAACGGAGTAAATGTTGGCAAGCAGGTCAAAACCCTTCCACGTGTTCTTTACGGAGTTGTGGATGTATTCGGTCAAGCCGAAGAAGTAACCATAACCGGTTCGCATTTTTCCTTTCTTTTTGTTCACTTGCAAGACTTTCAATCACTATTACATTCTAAGGAACCTTTGACTGAACTCTAGACTTCAGAATTTAGTCATGATGGCAGGGGAGAGCCTGTTTCCACTCATTGCTCGCAAATCAATTTTCTTGCATGCCTCTGTAGTACATGTCTCTCCAACCTTAGCTGCCTTCCATCTGTCGATTGCTTTTTGTGGTTCTTTACTTCTTGTAGGCCTTTTTGTGAAACACATTGTTTTTCGCACTCAAATGGCGCTTTTTTTCCCTATAGGTGGTACAGCGGAAACTCAAAGCAGTAACCAGGACGAGGTGGACTCTGTCTCCATCATGGTACGCATGCACAACGTCATCAACATCATAAAAGATGGGAAGTTTGACGATATTTTGTCTGTAGTGGGAAAAGTGGCCAAAGATATTCTAGAGCCTTATTCCGAAACAGACAACAGGCAGCTTCGCTTAAAGTATGGTGACCATTTGTCGGACATCAGTGCCCCTCAGTACCTGACCGTGCTTCTTCGCCGGGCGATGGACATGGGGATGGAGACTAAAGCAGGCTGGCTCGGCATGTACGTTATTCGCAGTGTATTTTGGAATTATGCGGACGACAGCTTAAAAATGGCGAGAGATTTGGGACGAAGCGGGTCACTAAAGATTATGTTAAATGATTTGGACACCTTTGGCCCGAACAGTTCCAAAAATGAGGTAAAACCCGGTTGAACTATTCCTTGAGTTGCTCAGCAGGATTAAGTTTAAATAGTCTTCATCATTCCTGGTGATTTGCAAGATTCCTCGCGCATATTTGAGAAAGCTCTTAGAACAAACAATTAAGCACCAATGTCGGAGTTACCGTGTGCACCCGGGGACACGAGAAATGACTGTGGGTATCTATATCCCCCATCTGAAATTGATATTGCCTCAATCAATATGCCATCTCAATTGATGTTAACGTCCACGAACTTTTACAGGCCTTGCAAAAATGTCATTATTTTGTTTACATGCTTCTTACGTTGGGTGCATGTATCCTTGTCCAACTAATTTGTTTTCACACAATAGTGTTTTTATTATGGCATACGATAAATGATAGCTTCGTCATTGCTTACTTTGCATTCAATTTATAAAACACAGAAAAAGAAATTCCTGGTTTTTTCTGCGATGAGTATTTTGCACAACTGCTCTAAAGCTGCAGAAAATCGTCAGATCCTACTTGATCTGAGAGCGATTGAGAGGATTTCGCCATTCCTGAAGGCAGATGATATGGAAATTGTTGTGGCGGCAATATTGACGCTAGCATACATATCCTCCGATGACCAGAAAAAACGTTTGGAGGCAGAGAGCAGAGTGAGTATTAGTTATAAGCCTCATTAGCGGCTGATATTAGATTCTGAATATTGGGATCAAATGCTGGAGTAGGAACTGAAAAAGCTTGGACGAAGGAGGTACGGGTATACATAAGACTTACTATGAGAACATTGATTGGTCTAGAGCATGCAAACAATATACAATAACGTGCGAGGTTGATATGATAACCCAATGTCTGCAGCAGATATTGGCTTATCATGTGCAGTTCAAATTCTGTCTTGTTTCCAAGTCCCTCGTCCGTGAAGTGTTCTCAAACTTTTGCAAACTCATAGAGAAGGGTCTTCTTTTGCAGATTGCGTAAAAAATCTATAATAAAACTATTACTGAGTTCGGGTCTCGTAAAATATCCTGAACTATCAAATCTCGTGTTTGTGCTATCTGGCTCAGCCCTCTACTTTGGCAGATAACACAGACCTCGGTATTATCATACTCAACCTCATCCAATAGCTTCTTATCATCACCTCAACTGATGAAACCAAATTATAATTTAAAAAAAGGGGTTCTATTTCATGGGAAACCAAATTTGTCACTTTTTTTTCTAGTGTATGTGTTTTTTTTCCTTGGAAACCCTTAGTATAAATGTAATTTTCTTCATTTACTCAACCTCAGGAAATACACTGCAATATTTTGGGTCAGTTTTGTGAAGTGTACCTCACTCCAGCTTTTAGGAGACCAAAAAATTTCAGTTTAAATCTTGGCACGTCCAGGTAAAAATTCTGCGATCAGAAATTCTGCGATAGGTACTCAAGGGAGTGGTTGGCCTTTTGATGTGCAGTTTTAAGCAAGATCTGTACATGAACCTATCTTGATAATTTTTGAACGACTAGTATATTTCTACTAGTCGTTCAAAAATTATCAAAAATTGGAAAACTATTAAAGTTAAACTTCATGTGAGAGAGGAGAAGAATTTGATTGAACTGAGGTATTGTTATGATCTTTACGATTTCGCCTTGTTGTCCATTAGGTAATAAGCTATCTGATTGGTATGTTGCAAAATGCATTGAATCAGTCCGACCTAAGAGGAAGATTGAATGGGAGCGCGTGGTGTGCTCAAGAAATCGCAGATGGTTTGGGTAACCTGGTGGTGAATGAAAAGAACATGGAGGTTATGCTAGAGAGAGATGTTGTTCCATTAATGATATCACTCCTCGAAAAAGGTGGGGATGCTGAAAAGGAACGTGCAGCTAACACCCTTTGGATTATCGCAAAGACATCGAAAGGAAAAGCAAAGATAAAGGAAACTGCAGCTGCTACAGAAGAGCTAACTCGCTTAAGCAAAAGTTCCAACCAGTCTGTGCAGGCGGCCGCCAAGAGAGTCCTTCTTGAGCTTGAGGAAACCACCTACACCCAAGGTGAAAGTCCAATTCATTTTCTTTCATTTATAACGTTCAAAACAGTAGAATCATCTGTTGTAATTTAGAGATAGAAAAAAGAAATACTAATTTATTGACAATTTCCAGCAATGCAGAGGATGAATTCCTGCGCTTCAGAATTTACTGTGAATTGCGGATCTTACAAAAAAATCCAAACATTCTGCATCCCAAAAATATGTTTTTTGCCACGCTAAAATGTTTTGCTCGCTGTCTTTCATACTCAGGTGACTACTTATATTAAATACAAGTAAGATAGAATAGATGTGGGTGGCAATGATCGTTGGCATTGAGGGACTGAGCGATAGCGCTTAGCGAGAAAAACGTGACTCCTTGCTCGGGCGGAACGGTCGATCACCGATCCCCGGTTATGTTGAAAGCCCTTAACGTAGCTGGCTGAGAGTGTTTAGAATATTGACGTAGAGAAATTTTCCTGATTCGACCTACTTTCTGGTCTTTCAGGTTCGGCAAATAGACATCTAAGAACACGTTGTGACTATCAAGAGAAATGTCGCACATTCAAGTCAACTCTCAAGCTTTCAGGTAAAGCGCCTCTGTAACTGAATGGACCTCTTTCTAAGATAACTACGTTGTTTTAAGAGAAAGTTCTATGATGTTAATAATTTTTTTCAGGTGAGTTTGGCTCTGAGCCCTTTTTACCTACATAATTTTCTTTCAGACGTCTTTTTTGACCCAAAGTTTGACAGATGTTTCTGTACAGAGTGTCACGCTGCCCGAGGCGATAAACTCTATTACACTCGAGGACAACCAGCAAAGGACTACGGGATTCCGATAGGATGGTGTCGCTTTGGACTCAAGTAATTTGACTGGGCTGACCAGTGATCTGTAGTATAGTTGTGTAGTGAAAATTGATCAGTGACAAACATGCATGCAGTTTTTGTTTCTGTTCAAACTATTGTCGCTGTCTTCAACATCATTGTAGCTTGAGTCTTTTGACACATGTATTTTCCTAATTTTTCTATTTTTACTCCTATCACTCGTAAAAGTAGAGTTTTAATAAAAGTTCTTCAAATAACTCAGTCGCTTCCTGAACTTACTTCAACAATTCTAAGAGATATCAACCAATTGAAAATCCTTTCAAGTTTTGTGTGGACGTATTCTTGAGTTTAGTCAACTTCCTAAAAAAATGTCTTTTGCTTGAGCCACTTTTCGACGAACGATGTGGGGCGGTGATGGTAATGCTATTGATTTGTTTCTTTGGCTTTCAAGACGAACACCTTCTGGGGTGGAAGTTTTGGATATCACATTGTTTCGAAGTGATTTAGATGTTACGAGTGATTATGTAAATAACATCGTGTAATTGCTTTTCAGAGTTCATCCTCGAGCTAAAGCCCTGGACGTGTTTAACAAATGGCACGTAGCATTCCATGGCACAAAAGTCGAAAGTGTAAACGCGATCCTGGAATGCGGTGATCTTCTCATCCCAGGCATGTAAATGTTGCTTAAGTATAACAAGCTATTATAACAATCAATTGATGACCTCCTTTCAGGACGACAAACGATATAATTTGTTTTTATCAAAACCGATATGCTTCACTGTTTACTTCAATTATAATGTTTTTTTTTACAGTTTTAAATCTAGCTAGTTGTAAATTTACCAACGTTTTCTCTAGTGTAGTCTTGAACATGTGTTAAAATGTGTACAGCATTACTGTCCTTACAATACCAGTAACTCCGACAAGAAACCCTCTTCAACGAATGATGTTGGGCGCAAGAGAACGAATTTCTTTGGGAGAAAAAAAATGTTTAACTCATTGTGCAAGTGTTAGTTAAGTATGGATCCCTTTTTGAATTTCAAATCTCGACTTAACCTTTCCGCAAAAATGGTTTGCTTTTTGTTACATCTGTAGGCGATGTTGCACTCGGAGGAAGAAAATTAAGTGAGGAGGAAGGACATTTTAATGACAACAGAAAACCGACAGGGTTTGACACAAAACAGATCTTTGTATCACCGAGTGTGCGCTATTCGGGACACAACTGTTATGCAAAACCCAAAAGGTGACCATAATGTTCTTATATACGTACTTTACAGATTACCACATGCTTCAAATTTAACAGTCATGTAACTTTATCACAGGAAAACTGATAGAATTAGCCTTATCTGTTATTAGCTTAGCTTATTAGCTTAGCTGAGTAGACTTTAAAGAAGTATATATCCCTAAGGACCTTGGAGAAGATGCTCACATCTTATCCGTGAGAGGGTTCCTAGTATCTTATATTCTCAACGGGTCTAGAGTTTTTAAAACTCACAATTAAAACTATTCTCGAGTTTCGTCATTCAAAAAAAAAAGCCAAAACCTTTTATCAAGGATAGTAATGATGAGAATGTGATGTAAGTTTGTAAACTCTGATTGTTGTCGAACATATTTAAAAAGGCAAAGGTTTGCTGTAGGGTGAAAAGGCGAATTAATGTGAATATCTTCCTCTATGAGTAATTTATATTCGTATCTACTTTATATCATCGTTCTTTTAAATTTTAGTTTTAGCCACCCATCATTACACAAAAGTTACAGCACCAAGGCAGTTCTTCAACTCTGCATCAACCCAGACAGCTACCAGGTTGGACCTCAGACAATCGGTGCTACGTCTGAGATTGACCCAAAGTTTAGTAACCAAGAAATCGAGTGGTCTACTAAGGAACGTGGCTCGATTATTCTTTATGGACTTCTAGTTAAACTAGATGAAGAGAATTAAGTTCATTTTTGCGATTCTTGCACCTGCCATTCATTAAAGGGGCTCGTTTATCAATGGGGCATTGTCTAGTTCAGGATATCTCTTAATGAGGTTTCTACTGTGTGATAAACTTCCTTGTTAAGTCAGTCTGTTTCTTTTCAAGAGATCTACTATGTACCGTGTTTATTAAGATGTGTGAGGTAAAACGGTAAAATTAGATTGTGAAGCATAGTGGACCGTGTGTCATGAATAAAATAGTCTAAAAGTACACAAAATTGGTGAAAAGTAAACAAAGGGATTGCTTACAAACTGTGAGGCTCCCATTTAGGCTGGTTGGCTTGTTTCTCCATAATGTTTACAATGACTATTGAAGACCGCTGCCAACGTTAAATTTTACTAGAGGCTCATAGATCGCCACCTTTTGCTAGCCCATAAATAAGCTCGTTACAGCAGGTTTAGACGCAGCAGTTGTTTTTGCTAAGAGTAGAGAAAATGGGGCAGAAAACGTCAGTGGTAAATCCATGTTGATCATTGTTAACCTATATTTCAACTCAGTATGTACTTGTCAATGCAATGTGGTCACATAATTCTAGTCAGCGACAGCAATGATCGGTTTAGTTACGGTAAAATCCAAAATGTAATTGTTGTAGTTATTGAGTCCTTTATTAAAAGAAGTTGTTCTCTGTCTATTTGTCATTTAGTCTTTAATGTCGGACGGATTCTGCGATCAGCAGAAAAAGGGGTGCAAGACACACCTACGTTTAAAGGTTGGAAAAACTACAATTCGCCTTCATTCCGTTCCGCCCACGAATTGGTTTTTTTTTCGGCAAGACTTGGTTTTTGCCTGTACAAGATTGTTAATGAGGCTGGGAGGGGTTGGTACAAAAGAAGAACGTAATGTAAAGACGAATGAAATGAATATCTTATAATTTGCGTCTTTCGATCCAAGTGATTCAATCAATATTATCAATTTCGATAGAAAGAGAAAATTAAACATATTGAAATAACCTGACATCAAGTTTTATTGAGCTTCTTTGCTAATTTAGTCAAATCTCCGTGGATGAACGACAAATATTAGGTAAAGGTTGGAACAATACTTAGCTTTTTGAAACAACATTAAAGATCCATGCTTGTATACGTTTTACTACAGTTTGATCCACGCTAGTTTCTTCACTATTGCAATGAAGACTCGTAAAAAATAAGTTGTCCTGAATTATTGGACTGTTAGAATGTATTGCTTCCATGAAAAAGAGAAAATTACTTGTATGTTTGATGCTATCAAAATCGGCAAGGAAAAGAAAGTCAAACATGTTTTGAGTGACAATGGTTGAAATTTTCAAAGCGTACGTTATTCTTCAATAACTCAGAGCAAAAAAGGGTAAACGAATCAAGCAAAGTACGCATACAAGAACTAAATCCTTCGTGAGAAGGAGTGAAGGACAATTACCTCCCTCCTTATCTTGTTCAAGTTACTGGAGAAGGAAATACTTGTGGTGAAACTTATATCAAAATAGCGACTTCTCCTACCTGCGAACGAAAACAATCGAGAAAAGAAAGTTTTGTAACCTTCTATACCGTTAATTTAACTAGTTCTTCATTTTATTTGTAGCCCCCTATGCCGTGAGTTTAATTTCTTCATTTCATTTAACGCACCCTATGCCGTTACAACTCAAACAACCCAAACCATAAACAAAAAACAAAATAGCTTTACTATTGGGAGGAGGTGGAGGTGGAGGTGGAGGTGTGGTAGTGCCTGTTTGTATTGAAATGACAATAAATGTATTAAAAACATTTTTTGTGGGAACATATCTTTTCTGGCGTCTACTTAATGTCAGTATTTGGAATTAGTTTACAGCTGTCTGCGTATGTTTTTATTTGTTTAGTTCTTTATATTTTCCAAAATATTTGTCGCGTTAAAATATGATAAATAAATATTTAGACTATTTATCTAACTAATTAAGGAGAAAGTTGATAAAATTGAAGAGTGATTCACACGGGTCCTTGATCTTTGGAATAATGCAGATATATGGTGGGAGTAAAACTGATGACGATTCTACCGTGCGAGCTCATTGTTGATGAGCTATTTTATACTTCTAAAAAATTTTTGTCTTGCTTTTTTTTCTGTAGAACGACTTGATGCTCTTTCTTGACTGAAAGTGTTATTTTATCAATTTCTTTCTTGTTTTTATTGCCGAAAGTTGCGAAGCGTCGCAACAAATTTAATATTTTATGCTCGAAAGTTTACAGAAATTTCTTTCTTGTTTTTATTGCAGAAAATTGCGAAGCGTCGCAACAAATTTAATATTTTATGCTCGAAAGTTTACAGAAACTTTAATCCTCAGTCTCAGAATTCGAGTTAAAAAAAAAAAAAAAACTACTTAACGCTGTCACGTCCAATTTTGGTGTTTTATTTTATTATAAATTCCTTATGGTTTATCGAGATGACTTTTCCTTAGGTAACCGTGGAAAAAATGGGAGAGCTCTTTGTATTTAAGTGAACAGTATTTGGCTTAGCCCGAGCTAGTAAATCAGCGAGTTAAAAAGCACCGTTTACATGTATGGTTCATACTTAAATGCACTGCTTTCTGATATCGTTATTCGCTTTGTTCGTCTATTTTTCTCTTTGATAAGGTTCATGTGTGGATGAAAGTCGCAGGCGGAGGAGCCATAGAACTTGTGGCGACGGGAGTAATCATCATAGGTAAAGAAATTGAAATATTTTTAAAATATATTAATTTGTTTTATTGACATGTCCCTCATCGAAAATGTGATGTGATTCATATGTAAGTGCAACAATCAGAGCCTCAGGTCAAACGCACAGCACAGGGATATGTGCTGGTGGATGAGGAGGTGTCATTCGCCTGAGGGCGCGAGACCTACATTGGTATTTTGGTCAACTTGTTGGTTAACAGTCAAGTTTGGTTTGAAAGAGCGCTATGATAAATAGAAACCTGCCAAGTTTGTTACGGGTTTTAATTTGGCCACGCAAGATGGCCGATTCATTTAAAGTTTACACAAAAATAAATCAATTATCAACGAATTTACACCTGATAAGACAGAAAAGATAAGGCAGGAAATAATACAAAATAATACAAAGAATGAGACGGGAAAGAGAAGGAAGGAAAAAGAATGGTCGAATTTTCTGAGTGTGGAAGACCAAGAGACAAGTGGAAGGAGCTTGCGAAAAATGCTCTTTCTCATACTGATCACTGAATACTTAGTAATATTCTATCAAAACTCTTGACTATTGATCAAAGTACCTTCTGTTTTTTATCAGAGTCACCAGACAGTCTTGCTTCTTGCTCAATGAACTTTGGAAGTTACGGCTCTTCCCCTTCTAGGTTGAATCTTCAGCACTTCCTCAAGCAAACGCGAAAAAAATAGTTGGACTTTACTCCATCTGATCTGATAAGTAGCTTGTTGCCTTTGCTTTTGCCCGTTTCTAATTCTATCCGGGCATTTAGCAGTTTTTAGCAAAAACATCAGTACACTTAACTCACAGGTGGTGATGGGAGAGAAAGGAAAGAGAGACGGTGGAAAAGGAAAAGATGAATTGAATGGAAATGCTGTCTATCCTACGGCTGGCGGAGCAGGAGGGGTCATTCAGATAACAGTACCTGAAGGGCAGATCGCTGCTGAGACTTGTCGTTGATAACAATCATCAACAGTGCAGCGTCAAAGCAGAGGATGGCCTTTTTCCTTCTGAAAGGTAACTTAACCAAACTTCGAATAGATCGAGGAATTCGAAGCGAACTACGTTAAATTTGGAAAGCTTCGTTTGCTAAGTGGAAGCGTGTTACAGTTCAACGGGCAGCCTGTTTAACATTCGTCCGTGTCGACGCGTAGATGGAAGCTGGCAGTTTTGATCTGTTTTAAAGCTTAACCTGCTCCTTTATACGAGTAAGTATGCTTTCCTTTCCAAGATAAAGCAGATGTAGTTTAGTAAATGGTTTTGATCTCTGAAATTCATAAAGATTTCGCCCAGGAAAGATTATGCAAATTCACGCCTGAAATTAAAGCGAACCGTAATTTGAACTTTTGTTTACAGAAGTTTGGGTGATATTTAAAAGTAAAAGTAGGTCTTCTTAAAGCGAAGACGTTGTTCAATGAAGGGAATTTTATGTAGGTAAGGGTTGCTTATTTACTGGTCTTTTTCATTTCGATATCGTGTACCATTTCTCTTGATTTAGAGAACAATTCCATTTTGTTCTTGTAGCCGAACGTTAACAAACGAACTGAATACATTTGGAACCGGGCTACAATCCCGTGATTTTAATGTTGATGGCCTTTTTTTACCTGATAGAAAAAATTATAGTGGATGGCTGATTTACAATCGAGAGCTCCTTTGGCTTTGAAAACAAGCAGCATTGGATGGCCAGTTGAACTTAACATCTACAAAATTAGAGATGATGTTTACTTTGATGTCACCGTCGCTTTAGAGTGTCTTGGTCTCCAAAAGCACGTAAAAAAACATGGCTTCAGTTTTATCGACAAGTTTCTTTATGAGAATGGTAAGTTGCCTTCACCTTTTGCATAAGTTATTGAAATGGTTATAAAATAAATCTATTATGAATAGTTTTTTAAACAAGAACTTCATCAACTTTGAAGTTGTATTGGTTATCATTTGTATGTTATCAGTGCTGGAGTTTTATTTAGGCAAACACTTAATTAACATGTTTATACAAATAATTTCTGGTTTGGAAAATATCATGAGCCACAGTATGATATACTTGCATCCAGGCATTCAGTAAATACTCTAGCCAATCACAAAGGACAAAGGACAAAGGACAACCACACTCTGATATAAATCTTCTCCTCAGGCATTCAAAACAGCTTTGTGCTCAACAAAAATCAGCGCAGTAGAGACTTCATTAGGTACGCAGCATTTGTGATATTAGCCATCAGATACCAAGGTACAGAAAACAGTGTTGAACCTCTGCGAAAGCGATTGTTAGGCCCAATTCTACTTCCACCAACTGGACGTATTGGCACTCAAGCACCCATTGTGGCTACTTCTCAGGGACCTAGTGTATCCAATCACGAGACTGAACCAGCTACTCCTACACAAGAAGCACATCCAGAGACAGCATTTGAACCAGTAACACCTGCACGATATATACTTCAATCAAATGAATTTTCTACACCAGCAAGCCGTCATCGCCTTACAAAACAGCTTGCAGAAGGGCAAAACAAGAGAAGGAGTTTGTAGGACGGTGGAAGACAATTTGTTTCCAGACCACTTGTTCAGAGGCTCAAACAGCAAAACAGCAGTTTTTTGGAAATGGCACAAGATATTCATGGTACTATGGAGGATTTACTGGTGGGTATTTCTCTAGCTGCATCTTCTCGGCGTAAAAGCAGTAGCGATACTTCTGATTTATGGGATGGATCGTTAACTCCTCAAGATGCCGTCACATTACCCAAATTAACCCGTGACAGCAGTACTAAGAAGTCTGTTTATGAAACTCTAACCACTGACCATGCTACAGAACTCAATCACATCTCCAGCCTAGAAATTGTGCAAATGCAGGATTCAGTAAGTCAGAAGGAAATATTTAGAAATTTGAGGAGAAAGCTTCCTGGATATTTTGTTTCAGTAAGGCAGACAGAAAGGTTAAGAAACAAATGGCATAAAGAATTTGACATTCTTCAACCATCAAGGACCCCAACTGGATGGCGTATTAACCCC